AACCATTCAGACTATTTGCTGAATTTTTTGACGTGCGTGGGGTGTCAGCTTCACACAGCTCTGGAAAGGAAAGGAGAAAAAGGAGGAGGGTTGTTTAAAATACGCTTCACCTGAGAGAGGAGAGACAGAGGGGAGAATTAAAATGAACAACATAATAGTGCCACACATCTAAAAAGACTCGGATAAGCTTTGAGACAGAAAATCTTTTTACGGGGTTATTTTTCTTTACATTCTTGACTGCATTTGACAGATTGTCTTATCTAATCTTCGGTCGTCCTCCTGATGTTTATCTTTAATGTCCGATTTCTCTCTTCCTTCCACTCTCAGGCGGTATCCAGACGGGAAAGACAAGGTTAAAGCTCTGTATATCCGTAACGTTTCCCCATTCCCGGAGATGGAGCGATTCCTCCAAGACGCAACAAAAAAGTGAGTCGGCAGATTAGTCTATTCTCTCTGGGGCAATTTCAATTTTTACCCCTTTTTGCAGATTTCAAAGTGCTTTGCTGCAGAACTCATGTCCGCTGAACTTTTTCACGTGTTGTGACGTTAAAATGGCAACCTTTAATTTATGTTGTTTGGATTTGTTTTGCATATTCATCCCCTTTTACTCTGATACACATATTGGAGTCCTTCCACGTCATGATGCTCTACTAAAAATCCTTAATAAAATACATTAAAGATTTAGGTAGTACTGTGACAGAATGTGAAAGCACAGTGTATTTGGACAAGCAATGCCTCTGGTCCAAATATTCACATCAGTCTTTTACAGATATGACCTCGAGTTGATCTCGGTGGAGGGAAGTATCCGGCAGGCTCTTAACGAGCTGCATGACAAAAGGCCGGAGCTGAAAGCCGTCCTGATGGGAACCAGGAGAAGTGACCCCTATTCCCACACCCTCACACCGATGTGCCCCACTGATCCTGGCTGGCCGGAATACATGAGAGTCAACCCGCTACTGGTAAGCCCATGTTCACGTCATAGTGTTGGCAATTCCAGCTGTTTAATTTCTATTCGTTGCACATTTGTATTTTTATTTACTTATTTATTTATTTTTTTTGTACAATCTTAACACATCCTGTTGCACAAAAGTGTCCTTGTGTTTTTAAAAGTACACTTTTTATTTTCCATGAGCAAAAGAAAGAATTCTCTTCCCTCAATGAGGTTAGTTTTATTACTTTAGTCATTAAAAAGGCACTTAGTGGTGAACCATTGTTTAGCATCCAAGTTTCCAGTTTTCTTCCAGCTCACGCAGAATAGTTGTAGCTTTCCTTCTGTGTTTACAGGAATAACCTAAATATTTAAAGGCAAATTAAATAGGTTGATAGAAACTATTATGTTTCTTTCCACAAATATGTAAAAGTAGTGTTTTAATGTTCAGTCCCACAATATTAGTGCAGAAATTTATCTTATTAAAGTTTGCAATCCCCATTACCGCAGGTCCTACGTTTGGAAAGCGTGAAATTTGATTTCTCTTTCCAAGTCAGAATAAGTGTCTAGAATTAAGTATCAAAATCTGATTTCTTATTCTATTTTCTAGAAAAATCAATTTTTCTGGAATTTTTTTTTTTTTTTTTTTTTTTTTTTACAGGTTTTTTTTTTAAAAGTTGTCTTTTTAAAACAAAAATAAAATTTTGACCCATTAAAAAAAAAA